TGGACATGGACGGCGTCCTGGCGGACTTCGAGGCCGGCCTCCTGCGGGGCTTCCGCCGCCGCTTCCCCGGGGAGCCGCACGTGCCGCTGGACGAGCGCCGCGGCTTCCTGGCCTGCGAGCAGTACCGAGCCCTGCGGCCCGACCTGGCGGTAGGAAGGGGACGGCGGCGCAGCGTGGGGCCGCCGCGGGAGCGGGGAGCACGACCCCACAGCGTCCCCGGGAGCGGGGAGCCCTCCCCTTCGGCAGGACTCTCTCTGCTCCATTTCCCGGGACACCCCTTTTCTGTTTAAAATTAACAAAACTCTCACTTCAGATTCCACAGTTCACCCCGGGACAACAAAAGTATGGGAGAGTGCTTCCCCCTAAACAAAATCCTCTTCCTGAAGCTCTGATTTGGGGTCTGAAGTCCCCTCAGGAACCTCACTTGCGGGTCCTCCCTGGGGCTAGACGTGCTGGAGGCAGAAGCTTGGGCAGAACACTGTATCTTTCAGGACAAAGTGGCCAGTGTGTATGAAGCCCCAGGCTTTTTCCTAGACTTGGAGCCCATCCCTGGAGCCTTGGAAGCCATGCGGCAGATGAACGACATCCAGGAGTGAGGAAGGCTGCGGAGGGAGGGGCGGTGGGGAGCAAGGCCGGGCATCACCCTAACCGAGGCTCCTTCCCTGCAGCACCGAGGTCTTTATCTGCACCAGCCCTCTGAGGAAGTATGACTACTGTGTGGGCGAGAAGGTGCGGCAGCCCCAGTACCTCATGGGCAAACTTAGCTTCCTAAGTCCTGATTTTTAAAGAAACCAGCAGAAACACGGAAAGTGCTGTGTGGGGAGGAGGGGAGCAGCATCTCTCAAGGGCTGTGGACCCCACTTAGACTTGCTCACTGGCCCTGAATGCAGGGGCCCATGAGACCCCACTGACAGATCTGTGTCCCCTACACAGTACCGCTGGGTGGAGAAACACCTGGGGCCCCAGTTTGTGGAGCGCATTATCCTGACGAGTGACAAGACGGTGATCTTGGGGGACCTGCTCATTGATGACAAGGACACCATTCGAGGTTGGATTCATTTTCCTTGGCAGCCCCCAGGCATCTGGCCTGCTGGGATTAGGGAGAGGGAGTAAAAATAACCAGAGTACAGATTGCATGCTCACTGCCTTTCTCCTGTGTCCTGTCCTAGGCCAAGAGGAGACCCCAAGCTGGGAGCACATCTTGTTCACCTGCTGCCACAACCAGCACCTGGCCCTGCCCCCGACAAGGAGACGGCTGCTCTCCTGGAGTGACAACTGGAGGGAGATCATAGACAGCAAGCGGGGAGCTGTGCAGTGGGACCAAACGGGCCTGGGGCTGCTGCAGGAACAAGTCGAGGGACCACAGCACTGGACAGTAGCTGAAGGAAGGGCAGGCAAGCCAGCAGGGAAGCCCAACAGAGCCAAGTGACAGGGCAGCGTCATGGTGGTGCCCCCAGCACCGTGGAGCAGGGACACACGGGAACCTCTGTGCTCTCACAGGCCAGCCATCTACAACCTCCTGAGATGGCTGGCATGGAAACATGGTGGGAATATAAGTTAGGAACCTTTTTAATAAAACACTTTGGCTCGCTGCTCTTTTAAGGTCCTTTATTTGGGAAAGTAAAGGGACAGGAGCCCTAGGGAGGCAGTTGGAATAGAGGCTGAGGAGGAGGCCTTCCCTCCCTCCATCTTTCTTCTTATCCATTAGTCCCATAATCCTCCCCACCTCCACATCGACCTGGATACCATGCCTCTGCCTCTGCCTTTCCTTGGCCTGTAAGAGGTCAACCTTAAGGGAGTACAGAAGGGAGACCAGGATCCCCCCATTGCTCCTGAACCCCAACTTTGCATGGGAGTCCCACACCCCTTCCCCTGTGCAAACCAGCGTACACCGTGGACTCCAAGCCACACACTTGATGTCGGTACCTGGTCCTCTCCCTTGAGCACCACTCTTACTTGCATCCCTGAAGCCCTCCTGAGCCTGAGACGCACTTCAGGGACAGGGACTCCCTGTCACTAGCCCTGATGGCAGAGAAGGAGGGCCAGGGCTTTCAGGTGGAGACCATGGTGTACTGAGGGGAGAAGACACAACTCCACGGATTTGTGCTTGTATTCTGATGTGTCACCCTCATGGCCTTGGTCTTAATGCCTGACGGCCATATTAACAGTCACTGGGCTACGTCACTCAAGAGCAGGGACCACATCTTCGTCTTTGAAGCCCTAACACGGTGCCTAGCAGACAGGCCTGTGTGGATAAACGGGTAATCCTGGGCAATAGTGTTCTCCAGGCCAGTGCCCACCATACCCAATGCCTGGCCTAGAGACCTTGTGGGGCAGGTACCCAGGCTTCGTAGCCCTGGAGTGGGCACAACACCCTCCCAGAGCCCCAAGATACTTTTAACAACAAGGCTTCTCATTTCTGTTCTTCAAAATTACTCCAGACACTTCTGTTAAGGGATAAAGCCTGTTTCCTCAATTCCTCAAGCTTAGGCAATTCTCCTAAACCCCAGGCCCAGCTGCTCCTCAGGAGAACCGCCTTCTGCACAGCCTCTGGATCTAGGGACCCTGGTGCTTCTTACACGAGAGTGAGAGCCTGGCAGTGGGGTGGGCTGGGAGGCAGGACCTTCACCTCTAGTTGGTTCAGAGTGCCAGCCTGTGACAACGGCACTGCCTCTGATTTCCTTCTCCGTGTGTCCCGAAGTTTGGCGTTCTCACTCATCTCCTAATGCCTTTCATCACAGTGTAAATACCTGTCATGCTGAGAAAACTCACCTTTACAATGGCCGAAAAGGCACCATTTGGGGAGAATGTGCTCAGTGGGAGCTATGCTGCTCCTGCTTCCTGAGCCCCCATGAGGATTTGGTCTTGTCTCTGGCAGTGGGGGTGCCATGGCCTTGAAGTCTCCTTGGATCAGGGCTGCTGTGGGGCCTCGGTCCTTGGCAGGGGAATACCCAGGGCAGAGTGACCCCGCCAGCTGCGGGCTTCAGCCACCTGGCTTGGGGAACAGAAGTCTTCCAGGAAGATCTGGGCCAGGTTCCGGAGCCTCGTGTTGGCCGAGAGAGAGAAGCGCAGCATGCACTGGACCACGGGCAGGGCGGTCAGCTCTGGGTGGGAGCCAGAGCCTGGTGAGCTCAGGTACATGATCGTGGTGACAGCGGATAGCACAGTCTCCTCGTTGGGACTGGACAGGCAGTTGATGATGAGTGGGATGCCCCCTGTCTGCAGGATGTGCTCCTTGTTGGCCTTGTCTGAGCACAGGTTGCAAAGACCTCCTGGAGAAGAGCAAGGTGAGTCTGGATGCCTCAGCCCTGGACCTCCACCCATCTCCCCTCCCAGCTCCTCTCTGCCCACTGAGTCAGGGAAGGGCCCAGGCCTGTGAGAAGGTGGCCCAGGGACAAGGGATCCAAAGTCCATTCTGGTCTCCAGCCCTCCCTTTCAAAGTTCCAGATAGGCCTTCCTGCCTGCCACTGCCTGCCACAGCCTAGCCTTCTGGAAGTGGGCACTAATCCCTTTCCCGCTTGGTTCAGCCAGTTCAATGGTTGATATACTTTTGTTTTGTTTTGTTTTTTTTGTGAGGAGGACTAGCCCTGAGCTAACATCTGATGCCAATCCTCCCCTTTTTTCTTGAGGAAGATTGGCCCTGAGCTAACATCCATGGCCATCTTCCTCTACTTTATATGCGACGCCGCCACAGCATGGCTTAACAAGCGGTGCGTCGTTGCGCACCCGGGATCCGAACCTGCAAACCCTGGGCCACCACAGGGGAGCGCGTGCACTTATCCGCTTGCACCACCAGGCCAGCCCCTACTTTTGTTTTTTTAAAGTAAAAAACCAAAAAAAACCCCACAATGCATCATCACTTTAGAAGAATTTAAAAATATAGGTAAGGTGATGGTTTCACTGGTGTATATATACGTCAAAACTTATCAAATTGTACCCTTTAAATATGTACACTTTATTATGTCAATTACCTCAATAAAGCTGTTAAAAATATTAGAAAGAAGCCAAAATATAAACCATCTTAATCCTACCACCCAGACATTTAACATTTGCTTTTCATTCCACAATTTTTAAATATGTGAATACATATAAATATTTAATAAATACACGATACTCTCCTTACTGTTTTGTAAGCCAGCTTTTCTCATTGAACAACGTATTGTGAACATCTTTCCATGCCAACAAATCTACAATCATGGTATCATTAATGGCTATGCAACGCACCATTTTATGGATACAGTATAACTTATTAAGAGGTTAGAGCATTTTAGCATCATTTTCACATCACTGTTACTTGGATACAGGGGGCCCAAAAAAAGGCCAGAGAGGCCTGAGAGTGAGGTTCTGGATCAAAAAACCCACTGCTCAGGTATTGTGGCCAGACCCCCCATTCCCTCACATCAGGCCTATGAGCACTCAGTGCAGGAAGCTGACTTCCTGTGTGTCCTGACTGAGCTTCCTGCCATCGTGGCACCCCTGCCCTTAGGTTCCTGCTCCATGCAGAGGAGGGGCTTCCAGCTCATTTGCACAACATGGCCGACCAGTCCTGAGTGTCCAATAAGGACTGAGTCACAGCCTATCCACTTCCCAGCTTCTCCTGAAACAAACAAAAAGAACAGGGCTTCCCCCAGCCTCAAACCCAACTGGGACATCTTTCCCAGCCAGAGAAGACAGGTGCCTGGGGAGGCCCCTGCTGGGGACACTCCTCCTCCTCCAGGGGCAGGAGTCTGCCCAGGTTTGGCACTGCCACCCTCTCCCTATCCATACCTGGGTCAGTCTGAGGCCTGCTAAAGGGAAACGGGTTTAAAGGTTTTATCTGTTTGGCCTCCAGGGACGTCCCACTGCATCTGGAATAACACCTAAACTCCCTTCCATGGTCTTCTGGCCCTGCACCATCTAGTCTGGTCCTTCTTCTCCCCGTCACTCACAGCAGTCACCAACCTTGGGACCTTTTGGCCCTAGATCTTCACACACTGCCACCCTCTTGCTGGTAACCAGCCCTTCACGGCTGCCTCGCCAATGCGCTTTCCCTGCAATACCCACTAGCCGCTCCTGCCACATCCAGGCACTTCCCTCATGACCCTGCTTCATTTTCTTCACATGCTTAGAACTCTGAGAAATCATCTTCATCGATCTGTTTTCTTGCTCACTGCCCACTGAGCCCCACTAGAAGGTACATGCCTGAGGTCAAGACCTCGGCTGTCTTATTCCCGCATGTCTGCGGTACCTGGCACAAGGGGCGCTCCACAAATATTTGTTGCAAGGGTTTTAAAGCAGTGAGCAGGGGAAAGGGTTGAACTGCAGAGGGTTGGGGGCTGGATGGGATGGCTCCCTGAAACTCTACCCACCTTGGACTTCTGCAGTTCTGGGATGCGGGCTGTGGCTCACAGACGGGGCACATCTGTGGGAGGGAAGGGGCTGAGTGGTACTCCTGGAGTCATGAGGAAGATGTGCTGCAGGAGAGGGACATAAGGCCCTCTGGCAATGAGGGCCCTCCCTATGGGACACTCAGAGGCCTTCCCTGCCAATCTCTACCTCAGCACCCGTTCACCCAGTGGAGCCCTTAGCATAACCACGGGTCATCCTGTTGACTATCTTCTGTATTTGCTGTCTGTTCCCATCACTGGGCACCATAAGGCAGGGCCCTGCCCTCTGGTTTACCTCAGTATTCTAGGGGGTTGCAACCGTGGATACTCCCTGGACATATGCTAGGAACATGACTGAACCCCACGAAGCAAGAGTTACCATCACCTCCATTTTAGTGGAAAAAGTTGAGGCTGTTGAGTAATTTGCCCAAAGTCCCAGAAGATGGGGAGGCCTCTGCCACTCCCATGGGAAAGGGTGTCCCTCCAGAAGCCACAAGGACAAATAATCCTGCTACAGGCAGATGCCAGGCTCAGCAAGGAGCAGGGACAAGTAGAAACAATCTGGCAGGCCTCTGGCTTCTCAGACACATCTACACCATCTCTTCTGAGCTGAGAATGGTGACCCAGCCTCCCACCCCCACCGCAGACTCAACTCAGGAGTGGGGGATAGGATTTATCTCTGCTGTAAAGTGTGATAAGATGTAGCCTGAGTCACTCTCTGGCTGGTGAGTCATCACACCCAGGTGTGCCTGGGCAGGGCACTGCCACCCAGGCCAGGGGATAATCAGGACAGCGGCCCTGTCTGCTCCCCTTGGAAGCCTCCAAGGACAGATCAGGTAGGTGCCTGACAGAGCTCTCCAGCTGCCTGGGCCCCAACCGCAGGAAACTGTTTAAGCCCCTCTGCCTTGTTGGTAGCGACCCTCGGAGATGGAAAGAGGAGTAAGGGCCTGGAAAGAGAACTTCAGGGGTAAGAAGGCTAAGCTGGAGCACCCAAGATGGAGCCACAGGACCCAAGAGAAGCCACGGCCACAGCTGCTTTGAGCCTTCCCTCCTGAGTCCACCTCTGTGAACCTGCCCTGAAGAACTAAGGAGGCCTGTTGTAGAAAAAGAGCAACACAAAACTTGGAAGCTTCCTACATAATGCTCAATGACAGAAAACTGGTTAAATAAATCATTGGCAGGCACATCTGTATGCTGGAAAATTATACAGCTCTAAAAATCATGTTTTCAAAGAATAATGTGCGAAAATGCTTGCAATATAAGGTTAAGGAGAAAAAAAAAGACATCAAACTGTATATACAATAAAATTGCAACTAAAAAAATTAGTCCAATAAGATGTCACCCCTTCTGAGAGCCTTCCATGACCACCCTCATAAGACCCTCTATCCATCATGCCCTCCCCTCACCGGCCTTCACTCCTTTTCTTCGTACTTAAAGAGTTCTTTGTCACTCGTTTATTGCCCCACTAAACTACAGACTCCATGAGAGTGAGGACTTTGTCCTGTCCCATTCTGTAGCCTCAGCCTGGCATACAGCAGGTGCTCAATAAATAACTTGGTTTTTTTTTTTTTCTTTTTTCTTTTTTTTTTGGTGAGGAAGATTGGCCCTGAGCTAACATCCGTTGCCAATCTTCTTCTTTTTGCTTGAGAAAGATTGCCTCTCAGCTAACATCTGTGCCAATTTTCCTCTATTTTGTACGTGGGATGCCGCCACAGCATGGATTGATGAGCGGTGTGTAGGTCTGTGCCTAAGATCTGAACCTGCGAACCCTGGGCTGCCGAAGCGGCACGCATGAGCTTAACCACTACGCCACCAGGCCAGCCCCCCTCAATAAATAACTCTTCTTTTTTTTTTTTGTGAGGAAGATCAGCCCTGAGCTAACATCTGTGCTAATCCTCCTCTTTTTGCTGAGGAAGACCGGCTCTGAGCTAACATCTATTGCCAATCTTCCTCCTTTTTTTCCCCCAAAGCCCCAGTGGATAGTTGTATGTCATAGTTGCACATGCTTCTAGTTGCTGTATGTGGGACATGGCCTCAGCATGGCCGGAGAAGCAGTGCGTCAGTGCGCGCCTGGGATCCGAACCCGGGCCGCCAGTAGCGGAACGTGCGCACTTAACCGCTAAGCCACCGTATAACTCTTAAATGAATAGATACATTAAAAAAAAGACAAGCAGGAAACACACCAAAATGTTAACAATGGTTATCTCTGTGTAGTTCAATTATGGGTAATTTTAATTTTCTTTATTCTTTATTTTCCAAGTCTTCCTCAATAAAAATGTTATTTTTATAACCAGGAAAACGAAGGTATTCTTTTTTTAAAGCTGAATTTCAGGGCCGGCCCCATGGCTTAGCGGTTAAGGGCGCGCGCTCCGCTGCTGGCGGCCCGGGGTTTGGATCCCGGGCGCGCACCGACGCACCGCTTCTCTGGCCATGCTGAGGCCGCGTCCCACATACAGCAACTAGAGGGATGTGCAGCTATGACATACATCTGTCTACTAGGGCTTTGGGGGAAAAAAAATAAATAAATAAAATTATAAAGCTGAATTTCACTCAAAAAAGAGAATAATTCATCAAATGACACCATTAAAAAAGTAAAAAGGCAAAAGGAGAAAACATTCATAGAATATATATCTGACAGAGGACTTGTATCCAGAATATATAAAGAACTCCTGCATATCAATAAAAGATGAACACCACAATAAAAAAACGAGCAAAGAGATTTGAACTAACTCTTCACAAAAGGGCAAATACATATGAAAATGCGTTCATAGTTATTTATCAGAGAAATGAAAATTAAAACCACATGAAGATGCCACTACACACCCATCATAATGGCTCAAACAAAGAAGACTGACAATCCTAAGTGCCGGTGGGGAGATGGAGCTATTGGAACTCTCATATGCTGG